CGGAGAGTCTCCAGACTGATCTGAGAATGAAATCTTGAAAGCTCGCGAGATCAGGATGGTCTCACGACGCTACGATCTGTCCTGCGCTGGCACTAACTACGTAATAATGGTACTGAAAATAGTTATTTATATACTTAAAACATTAAAGAATGCTAAACTACATCGTATAGAAAATATTGAAGACTTTTCTGGAAGAAATGGATCCGTTTAACATTCTCTCCATTGTATTGCGTGACGTCATCATCAGACATGCTCAGAGCAGTCAGAGTAACGGTCGAAAGGCTATTTAAGTGCATCGCTTCTTTTTGTTTTTAGAATATGCAATATTTACGCAAATACAAAAAATATTGAAAATACACCCCGAAAAAAGACAAAAGAATAAAAAACTAAGAAAAACTAAGTAATTTATTCTGCTCATGCATGCGCAGGAAGGATCGTGCTTCTGGGACGGATCGGGTAGTGAGCATGTAGGATGGCCTTATGTAAACCTAATGATTGACAGTTAGGAGGACCACTTTATTAAGATGATTCATCCGGAAATAAAAGATTGTCCGCTATACCTTTAAGACCAAAATGAATGTAAAAAGGCTGCCTGTGATGATTAAAGAGTTAAAACTGACTGGATAAGCTACTGGGGATCAGATTAATTCTGCCTGTGGAAAACCTGTGACAGTTCTCAGCTCTGTGTTTGTGATAGTGGTGAGTCTGGAGCAGGGAAAACTGAGAGCACCAAGCTGATCCTGCAGTTCCTGGCGGCCATCAGCGGTCAGCATTCATGGATAGAGCAGCAGGTCCTGGAGGCCACGCCTATCCTGGAAGGTCAGCTTCATTCTCTGCTATTTCTAGTGATACTGTAATCTAAAAGTTTCTGTTCTGCTTAATTAAATTAGCACCTTTCATGCTAGTTTAAGGTGAAATTTGTGCCTTCTTTATCATTTTCTGTTTATTTTCTTTCAATTATGAAGCTTTTGGCAACGCCAAGACAATACGTAATGACAACTCCAGTCGCTTTGGGAAGTACATAGACATCCACTTCAACAAACGAGGGGCCATTGAAGGGGCCAAAATAGAACAGTACCTGCTGGAGAAGTCTCGTGTCTGTCGACAGGTGAGAAGTCAGATCATCGATGGTCCTGTTGAAAATTACACTGCATTGGTTTTGGTTGGAACACAGGGTGTTCTGCTCTGAGGGGTTTTAGGCCCTTCCGCATGTTTGCATGTTCTCCCTGAGCATGCCTGGGTTGTCTCAGGGTACTCCGGTGTTCTGTCAGTCCAGCATACCCATAGTCAATACCCGTTTATCCCTTTAGTTTTGTACGACAAATAAACTTTAAACAACCTCAACCTGCGTGTATATACTTGTACCTGTATGCCTTTAGTCATGTACAAAAAAACAATTTAATTACTTACTTTCTGGTTTTTTGTGAAGCGTATGGTGATCTGACCTTAAATTTTTATTTTTTTATACATAATTAAAGGGATACACATCCACTGATGTAGTTTAAAGTCTATTTTTCGAACAAAACTAAAGGGATAAACGCAAATCTGATGGGGATAAAGTCGTAATATTATGAGAATAAAGTCCTAAT